GCTAAAATTTTTCACTAACTGTAAGAAGCTTATAGACCTAGCATCACCTTAAAGTTCTGAGCTGCTCAAAAAAGCTATTTGTCTGCAAAGAAGGGTAAAGTATACCAATAGTCTTGATGGAATGGTAAGTTGTTTTGCAGGGTCTTGCATGTAGTTTTCTCTTCCACTGTTTAAAAAAGGACTCGAGAAGATCTCTCGGTTCCGTTCCGTCCCTGAGGCGCAAATCAAAAACTTTCATAGACCTACGACCGAACTTTGACTCTATAGGAGAGGGTTACTGTAGAACTTTTTACGACGTAGAAGTTGCAACATTGTAGGGATGGGGACGTACATGCGGTACCACGAACGTTTCTGTTCCGGTTAACTCGGCAAAAACAAATTTTGCACAAATTCGTTAGCACTGTCTGATGAATGCTTTGCCAAGTGATACTATGCCAGCAGTCCAAAGATTGTTGAGTATCAAAGACCTTCATTTGACTTTGGAAGATATGAGCGTCAAAAAAAAATCTTAAAAAGCGGGCCAACGGTAGCCCGCGCTGCGTCAATGGATTGAAAAGAGAAAGTGACTGGAGTACACTTCTTCTAGTAAGCTTTGGAAAAAAGGAACCATAACTGTGTCGATCACTTTTCTGCTTGCGAGTTTTTAAAAAGTCATCTGCTCTTTTATTGTAAAGCTTATATTCATGATAGAATTGAAGTTACGAACATGTCGTTTCATCGTAGTTGCTGCAATAGTAGCAAATCTTTGAAGGCAACGTACACCCAAAATCTAAGTTACCCAATTCTCTATAGCGTGTATATCTAGGGCTCCGAAAAGGACCAATTGCGTTGGTTCGGGCTCCCAATGTTGCTTCTGAGCGGACTCGCCTGGTTTTTCTTTCATCCCGTCCCTCTTCTTTCACTCCGCCTCCTTCGGACGAAATCCACGTCAGCGTAAGCTGCAGTTGCAGTTGCTTGCAGTTGCAACTGCTGTTGCAACTGTAATTTCATTTCATTTGCTGTTGCAACTGTAACTGCTGTCGCAACTGCAACTGCTGTTGCAACTGCAACTGCTGTTAGTATACCAAAAAAACTGTTTTTTCAGCTGAAGAATGTGATTAAATTACTGAGAAAGTCTGAAATCCTTCAAAAGTTATGTAATGAAATCAGTAAGCATCAAAACACCTCACGAAACTTTTGAAAATTTAAAAACTTCATTTCTGTCGTAGATTATCCAGATAATCTACAACCTTTAGCATTGTAGATCTACCGTCCGTGTATGTTATATTTAGTATATCTGTTAGCTTGTCGTTGACAAACCTTGTTGTTCACTGACCACTTAAGCCGCCAGGTGCTTGGTAGTCTAACTGCAACTGCTGTTGCAACTGCTGTTGCAACTGCTGTCGCAACTGCAACTGCTGTCGCAACTGCAACTGCTGTTGCAACTGCAACTGCTGTTGCGACTGCAACTGCTGTTGCAACTGCAACTGCTGTTGCAACCGCAACTGCAGTTACAACAGTGTGGTTGCTTTTTGCAGCCCGCCTCCTTCGGACGACGAACCACGACAGCATACGCAGCAATTGCAATTGCAACTGCAGGCTGTCATGCTGTTGCAGCTGCTGCATGCCGACGGGGACGAGCAAATCGAAACTCGTCCGCCTGACGAGAGGGTCCCCGGAAATCGGGGTTCTTTGGGACTTTTGGAGGATTTTAATGTCGTAACTGCAATAGCGGCACGGAAAGGCCCCAGAATGACAAAAATATCGAAGGCAAATATTTGGGTGTACGCTACCTTTAACCAACAATATGTGCGGTTGCACGCGACAAGCACATTAGGCGTAGAATCCAGCTTGGTTCCACGCATATACCTTCTGAACCTTTACTAAATAATTTTTAATGTCAAATAGCACTGAAATATCGTTGATGTTTGAAAAACAAAGGCTTGTAGAAAGAATGAAGAGTCTCTAAAGTGCTCACGTCTGAAGATCCTGTTCATCGCGCAGCGCAGAATGTGTGCAGTCTGTATAAACAAAGCTGGATGCTTGTTTGCCTGTATGTCACTATGTCTGTCTGTACGTATTTTCCGAGTAGAGTAAAACCGAACTTGGCACACATACACTTCGGGGCGGGACAGATGGTAGGCTACTTGTCATTACCGATATCGATTTTATCGATTTATATCACAATTTCACTCACGAGGAGAAGGTACAGTGGGGTAAGTGAGCATGCTGATTACGAAAATAATATTGACAGGACCACGCGGAGCCGGATTTGCCAGCTAGTTATACATATTATCGCTACGTTCAAAGGTACAAGCTCGCTCATCCAGCTAAGCAAGTCTGACACCAGATCAATTAAGGGTTACAGAAGACACTTACGAACTTCCTTGTCCCATCACTCCTCATTTTTTAAGCATCCTGGAAATTCCCAGATCAGTCACACCAAAAAAGTAAGTAAGAAAAAGGTGCTTCAACAATATCCACTCTTGTAGGACATCAGTCACACTTTAGTTATTTGAATTGAAGTCTCAAACACTTATCTTCAGCTTCCAAAGCGCCTCTTCAAGAAACAAAACTACTCCGAGATCTCGTAAAAATCCCACAAAAAATACTGCTGATGCTTTGCCAGTAATATATTGTAGCCCCTTTTTTCTTTTCTGATTTCGAGCAATTTTGTAAGGATGCAATCAGTCATTGGAAATTTACCATTCATCATCAGAAAAAAGCCCCTGCCCTCCATTTGACGCCACATGATTTGTGGCTAGACTACTATACGAGCGATTGAGAGCAAATGCCGATTTCCGGAACGGACACGCCCACAGCCGTTGACATGTTAGCGTCTTGCAGATGTCTGCTTATAAATATGAGCTCTAGATGATCTAAGGCGATATTAACATTTTAGGATGAAAAAGATCAAAACTTCGATCGATATCAGGTACAACAATGATATAGTTTTACTTTATCTTTTTTATTATAAAAAGTCACAGATTGATTATCAGCAGGCTCGAATGCTAGCGGTATGATTGCGCGCCCCATACGCGCGCGATCATACCGTTAGCGTGGCCGTAAAGTGAGAACGTAGTCTAAACAGTACTTTGAACTGCGCGCTGCGTTTGCGCTGTCTTCCTTGCTTGAAATATTACATGAGAAAAACCAACAACTAGTGGAATTGAATCAGAATGATTTTTGAGCTTCGCACATCAGCAGGTGGGGAGGAGAGGGGGGGGGGGGGTGAGAGAGGAACAATTTATCTAGTTTTACTCTTTTCCCTTTTGTAGGGTGCCAAATAAAAGATGCTGCACGACACACTGAGTTTTTTCCTTCTTTCCTTCCTTCACCTCTCGTTCTTAGATAATTAGGCTTATTTTCACATATCATTTTGAACATTTCTGAAGCTCCACAAGCAGTTTATGCGCGAGTCATTTGTAATCATTATGTGAGTCTGCACACTATGCGTGGCAACCGACGGCACCTTACTAGTAACTCGCCAGTGAACGCATACATATCTTAACAAATCAGAAAAGAGCACAAGACAAGTAGAAATCGTAAGATCAGTATGTTACAGTTTTACAAGTTGTAAATCAACGCGCGTGGTGTGCATTACGCGCAAATCCCCTTGTCTTCTTCTCTCCTCTGATTTGATCGGATACGTATTGAGTAGAAGTAAACATTACTACGGTATTGGTTACACTTGACTCGACGATGCAAGATGTTTTAAATGATTATTATATTCAACTCCCCCCTCTCTCATATCCTCCCTCCCTCCCCCCCCCCCTCTTTCCTGTTCCTTTCTCCTGTCTTTGCAGTCTGTAGGCGCTGATGATTTGCGGCGGGATTACCCGATGATCAATCAGGAGCCCCGAGCGAGTGAGAATGTAGCTTGCACTCTTCATTCAGTTTGCAATCAACGCATCGCTGCAAATCAAAAGCTATTGATTTTTGTACAAAAATCAAGGCCTGTACGTTTATCCATCTTGTCGTAAATAGAGATATAGTGTGGATAATATTTGCATGCACTTAGGTTTTTGCTATTGATGGGTTACACGTGTCATACTGTAGTTCATGTGGTGCAGCTGCACAAAGCACGTCAAGGACGCGGCCGCCATATCCAATGAAGCAAGAAAATGTAGCGCTCCGTCCGACACAAATTGGTTAATTTGGTATCTTGATTTATTTTTCTGCGGATCTGTCGTATGTAACAAGTCAGAGACATACTTGCGACTATTTCTCAAGAAAAAATTGGTGTAAATGCACGCATTGCCAGGCAAAAATCACGAGCAAAAATACGCTACGTTGCCATGGTCGAACAACTATAGATGAAGATTAGTGTGATTGCACAGCAACACATACTTGCACGTAAATTTGTGATCTCGTTAGCGTGGGAGCTGTTTGAGCTAGTTTTTATTTGCATTTTCTTGATGCTTAGTTCTCCTCCACCTATCCTTCTCCTCTATCTCCCCTTCCCTTCCCGGTGTTTTCTACCCCCCTCTTTCCCTTTCTTAATCGAGCAGCTATCATCCTGACACGTAAGCACCTGGCTAAGAGCGGGGACTAGGTGTCTATGAATGCGTAAATTATCGTGACGGACGCTCAAAGCCCCTCGGGCTCACGTGATCTGCATCCCACATTGATAAATGCAGCAGTTTGCGCTTTATCAATATAATTTGTGTTCCTAGCACGAATTGCACTACAGTACACTGCAGAGTGGTGGGAATAGTCGATATAGGTGATACCCATAAAGAAGTGTCGTGAGAAGAGTAATACTGTCATGACACCCATCTAGACATAGCTGCACCTGTTCTACGATTATTTGCATCCCAAGGGGGGGGGGTTAGGTCTGCTAGAGCGCGTTCCCCTAGAATAACGGCGCGCAGCAGTGCGAACTCGTCCTGGTCGATTTTATCGGCTCTCCGATGTCATAACTCGGTTTATTCGAGGTTTTGCCGATTTAGTTTCATAGATTTACATAATTCCATTAAAATCTCTGTGGGACCGCTTTTACATGAACATATATTTATTAACACAGTAAATACATATCTAATATATATATAACTTTGTAGAACTTCAATACATTTAGCAAGAAAGTTAGTGAAAAACTTCAGCAAGACATAAATCAGATACAGCCACAACAATATATGTAAACAAATTATGTAAAAGCACTAAATGCACAGTTGAACGCCTGACTATAGGCATGCTAACGTCTGCTTGCATATGCAGACGTTACTGCTAGAAAAACCGATAGGAAACCGGGTACACCCGCGACAGAGCTTGTGAAAAGGACAACATGAATGAGGGGAAGGGGGGGGGGGGGAGTGAAGAGCAGAGACACACGAGGCGAGATATTCGATCACATTGTGAGCTGCACACAGCTAATGCATTTCGCACAGAAGTGGATGGATGACGTGAATTAGTTTAGTAAGACGGATAACAATGGAAAGTGGAAGAATGTAGTTAGAAATTAGCTAAGTCATGGACAAATTGCTGATTTAACTAATAAGTGAGATCAAAGAACTTCAAAGAAGAAATGCGAGAAGATAGAACTTCAATAATACAACAAAAAGTCATGATAAACATGTAATTTTCAACAAAATCCACTTAGCTGTGCTAAATCTTGACTATTTTCACCAGACACTCACGCTGATAGCGATTTCGGGCTCGGATAGTGCACAACATCGACACTAGCTTCTTTGTTGATTTTCCCGTTCAATGACGCCGTCACCGACGGTCGCACGTCCATCGATGCAGGCGCGCTCGTGCCATTCGTGTTCTTCGACGCCGCATCCGCAGCATTTGCTGCACGACCACTCGTGAGAACCGCGTGCAGTGTACGCCCTAGTGACTGCTTATTCAGCGTTGCCATACGCCGGAAGTCCATCGGCGCAGGTGGTGCAGTCGTGGTCGCCGGCGGTTCCGCCTGTAAAACGAGACCTTGAAGAGTGTGATAGTAATGTGATCGTGCTTTTTATGATATTAGCCAGTTAATCCCCAATTAGTATCGATCTCTTCGGATGCAACTAGAGGAAAGGGAAAGGGGGGGGGGATTAACTGCAATGACTTAATCAAAACCCCTCATACTACTAGCTGTGGTTGAGATCGCGGTCTAAAGCCTCGGACATAGTTCGCGCGATTTCGTCGCGTCGCGACTCTCTCGACAAAACACTGTTACGAGTCCATTGCATGCGATCACCTTGCATTTCGGGTGTGATTAGTCATGATCGGTCGTGTCAGAAAACAATCACAAGCGAGATGCAAAGTGATTAGCATGCAATGGGCCCATAATAGCTGTCTTGTCAAGATAAGCGCGACGCGATGAAATCGCCTGAACTATGCCCGAGGCTTAGTGCACCAGATTATTAAGGCACAGATTAATCGTTGTCGCGTGCAGCACTATTCCTACAACTGAAAAATTTTTAACTACATTCTCCAAATAAATGAAAAAGAGCCGAAAATGACACAAAATTGTTATTACCAGCCCTTACAATATTTTAAGAAATGTGAGCGAATAATTTTCCATTTAATATTTTTCAGGTAGACAAAAAAGGAAAAGGGATTTCTCACCGTGACTGGCGGATTCGCCAATGTTGGTGTAGGTTCCTTTGCTGTTGAAGTGGACGAACTCGCCGGAGGATTGCTGTTCGTCGTTCCACACATTCCATTTGGCGTTGAATTCGATGTCTTTGGCGCCGTATCCGCAGCAGGCGGCACTGACGGCATCGTTCGCGCATCATTTGTCGCATTCAGTAGTTGTGGAAGCACCGGTTGAACAGGTCGAGGGTTTTCTGGCATTGTAAGGGGAGGCGCAGACACAGTAGGCTTCGGCTTGGGTGCGGGAATATTGCTTTGCGTCATTTTTCCGCTGCTACCGCTGCCATTTTGCTGCGGCTGCGTATTTGGTCGTGGCGGCTTCTTCTGAGGAGGAGGTGCCGACATCGATGGGAGCGGCTGAACTTTGGGCAATACGCCTGCACTTTTCTGTGGAAGTTCTTTGGACGACGACGGAGCTGGAAGATCAACTTTCACAGGCGGTGGTCGTGTTGTTGTGATATCGACTTTTTGTATAGCCCTCACTTCTCCGTTAGGTTTTTGATTTGACTGTTGCCCCTTCTGAGAACCAGTGGCCCTGGGGGCCTTCATAGCAGTGACACCGCCCTCTTGTGTAGGTCTAGGCTTCGGTGACGACTTTGGCAACGGCTTTGGCGTCTTCTGCTCAGCTAGCACACTGGCTACGGTAGGCATAGTGGCAGCGGATGGAGGTGGTTGAGATGTCTGCACAGGCAGCGGCGGTGGTACTGGTAAAGGCGGTGGTGGCATCATCTGCTGGGTTTGTTCGGGCCGCGGTAACTTGTTTACCTCTGTGCTTGGAGCAGGCGAAGAAGTGGGTGGCTGCTGTTGAGGGGTGGCAGGAGTATAAGCAGGGGCGTTAGGTGGGTTTGATGGTGTGGGTTGCGCTGATGCGTTTGTTGGATCTTCACGTTGAAGTCGCGGCGGTCGATCAGGAGTTTCCATTTCATGAGCTGGTCCAGGTTTTCTCATCGGAGGGCATTCCATAGATGTCGGCATCTGGAAACACCACTTTTTGAGTACCACATATCAATTTGGATCAAATATAACATTGTTATTCAACCGAAACAGCTGCTACAACAATAAATTCTAAAATTTGATAAGAAGAGGTAGATTTTTCATTCTGAGCCCCATCCACACAAAATTTGCTGAGTAGAGCTTCAATCGCCACATGTACGACAGGACAGACGACAAAGGGAGGAAGGGAATGTTCTCATCTGACGAAATTCTTCCGGTCATACTTCGCTCAAAAAAGCTCAAAAGCGCCCAAAGGCGCCCAAACTTCTCTAACCTTTATTAGCTTTCTCTGTCTCTCCTTATACGAGAAAGTGAAGGGAGATTAGAGAAATCTGGGCACTTTTGAGCGCTTTTGGGCGCTTTTGAGCAAAGTCTGACGGGGGCTCTAAGGCTTACGAGGTTTATAGTATGCATTTCACACTCAAGACTAAAATAGGTAGGGAATTTAGAAAGTGTTCAAAAGATTCATAGCTCTTACCTCTGTCAATTATGAAGCAAAACTTGTAAACTAGACTGTAAACTAGATTGTCATCCCACATGGGTTACAAAATCTGATTCTATGGTTTTATTGACTGCTGTTTGACTCCTCGACTTAATGAGATGATTTCAGCAAATAAAATATCTACAATTGCAGCACAATAGCTGTGGAAAGTTTTGAAAGTGAGGTCTGGTAAGGATAGCATGAAATGCGTGTAAGACATATGATAGGAAATACGCATTGAAAGCAGGCATAGAAAAACCAGAATAATTCGGCGTAAAAAAAAGTGAGCAACTCAGAAAGAAAGAAGTACTAACCTGTGGAGGTTGGAACGGCATTGATATATGCATGTTCGGTGGTGATCGATGTAAAAAAGGCGGTTGAGCGATGAACATCGGTCGTAGCAATTGTCCGACCAACATATTCGGTGCGATTGGTGTTGGATGCGGAGCGCTTGTCGTCGGCGATTTTTCCGTAGGACTTTTCTTCGGATCACTAAGCTTTCGACGTTTACGAGGCGCACATTGTTGTGTGATGATGGGTGCCGAATGACCGTAAATATCGGTTGAGAGGCTGACGGTCAACGCCGGAACTACGGGCGAGACGATTTGTACGGGTTGAATAGGACCGGATGGTTGTACGTTGGGCGGGGTTTCTTGATGGACCGGCGCTTCTGGCATTAGGCATGGCATCGTTTCCGCATCGAGAACTGGCGGCGCGTCGTCGATTACCGTCGGAACGAGCGTGAAGAATAATCGGAATGGCCGTGTGCGATCGAATCCACCATCCAGTACCAGGGTGCGTAGTGTAACGTCATCGGAGATGTCCTGGAAACAACGAGAGGTGAAAAACAATGACTATGCATAAACTACATAAATATACATTGCAAAACCAAGAATAAGATATGAGGGATAAAGTTCATAGATGCATCTCGCTACTGTTCAAAAAAATATGAATGATTAGAAATGAACTATAGATTGGTTTTGCAATTCAGCACGCAACTTGAAGGAAAAAAAACGAGACGGCAGATAACTCACCTGGAAATCATGGTCCGATATAAAGTGCACACTGAACTGGTCTGTGAGGAAAAGCTTTGTTTCGAGCAGTCGGCGTATTGTTCGTATGGGGACTTTCGCAGCACAGCGGAAGAACCGGCGAAAGGATTGCTGGATTTCACGTGGCTCGCGATGCTGTAAATAAAGGTATTGACATAACTGGATATTCCACAGAGAAGCATAAGAACCCCAACAGAATATACAATAATGAGAAAAATAAAAAATTAGCCAAAAGACAGAAAAGAGCTAAAGAAAAGCTTGCTTTAACTATATCTGACAGAAAAATGGGACAGCGCCAACATATTAACTTGATGATCTAAAGCTACTAATGTTCTAGGTATTCCGAGCTTGTGCTATATCGACCATTTAGTTATGAAATGTACTAACTTCAAGTTGTTTCTAGCGACAATCAGCAATTCAGACTAGTCACACGATACAAATAACCAAAGATCTAGTAATTGCACGAATTTGGAGACTGAAGGAGAAATGAGCACACAAGAAATAAAGAACGAAAAGTGTATCAACTCGAGAAAAGAAAATAACTAATGCTTGCCTTCTTAACTTTCTTGGCAGGAGGTTCATTCGTTGATGCCGAGGTACAGGGCCGTGCCGCAACTGTATCCTATAGTAAAGAAAGATGAAGAAATGGTGTTTAAAAAGACTTCGAAAAGACTCACTTCTTCAGTCTTAACTGCATTCGTTGGCGCAGGTACAAACTCCAAACAAATCGAAAGCAGTTCTTCTGGATCACAGATCTCGCTTGTCGTTTGCACCAACTCTCTAAAAAACCGACATTGCTACTCACTTGCAGCTTACACAATAATAAACAGCATGCTCAGCATAATTACTATGGTGTTTCATGAATAGTTCGAAATAAAACGACTGAAAAACTTAGGCAAGTCAACGGAATGTCATGTAATTTTATTTATTTCCCAGTAAGATGAACTAAAATAACATATAAGTGGAATATCCAGAAGCTCAGAAATTATACGACGATAGAAAAGCTTATATAGAAAGACGTGCTTTAAGACGAATTGATTATTGAAACCAAAAAGGACACTCAAAATTTATTCACTCAAAAGGACAAAGTATTTCTCCCACTCCCAACTACAATATAAGACTACTTTCCTCGAACGTGAAAATATTTTCAGCAAAAGAGCTGCTTGGAGGGTATCAGGTACAGTATGGTACTTACTACAGCTACTCGGTGAAAGCAGCTAAAGTATTGGAAACACTTCAGCAAATGAGTGAAGCCTTATTTCAAAAGCAGCTTTCAGGCTGGCTTGAGTTTGTATCGCATTAGGACAGGCTCAGCGTAGGCGAGCATGGATTAAGCAGAGATTTTGTACTCAGTCTGTATCGTACAGTTTCTACACCTAGATACCCAAGTGGTAAACATATCCGAAAAGCAGAAAAAGGTAAAACGAAAGGTAAGAAGAAAGGGGAAAAAACTGGAGTCCAATAAGATAATTACCTCTGAGCTTTTTTGTTTCCTGCATTTGCAATCGTCTTATCCTTCTCAGCATTTTCAAAGAAGATTCGTGGCATGAACTTGTACACAAGCATTTGTAACGTAGAATCTCGTCGATATCCATTCTAAAGAAATAAAATCACTTGAAAATCTTCAAACTAAAAAAAAAGAAGGAATAGAGACAAAACCACAACGCTCACTTTATCGACGTTCTTTTTGCAACCCTTGGTTGGACAGATTCCAGATATTGATAAGTTTTTCAGAAGGCACTCTTCGCAGACTAAAAAACAGATAGGAAATGATCAACTAACAAGTGGCAAAAGATTATATATTATCAAATATTATTAGATTATATATTATTAGATTATATTATAGATTATTTTAAAACTTCTTATATGCCAAAAATTTGAGGAAAACAACTTACAACTATGCATGCACCCAGCCACAGTGACGGCATTCACCAAGAAATCGTGGCATAAACCGCATTTTAAATTTGGTGAAGCACTCATCGCCCTGAAAACAAACTATTCATGTGAGTATTATCAAGTGCTAACAAACAGGACAAAAACATCTTTTTTTACGTGTTCGGTTTCACTGCAGCCCTTGCCGTTTTACAAATCTACAACAATAAGCAAAATAAAATTTGAAATTTGTTTTTCATTATTGCGGCGGATGCGCTAGGTTTTTTTCTCCTAAACTGGAATTAAACTTCAGTTTCAAACCTTCTGTGATATAGTTATTGCTCACTAAACCCAGTTCTATGGTCAAAGTAATGTCGCCACTTTTTTGTTGCAATTCTTTTTCTTGATAAAAAAAAGACTAGATCCTGCAACGACTATACAATTCGAGCGAGCTTAGACTAACATTTCGTTGCAGACATTACCAGCATTTGATTTCTGCATAGGGATAAGTGATTCCTAGTAATTCCACTGCGTTATGATTCAAATGACATTCAACCAAAGGCTAAATGAGGTGGCTCTAATGTTCAGAATACAAAATTAGACGTTAATGGATCATCCTATTATTTGGATTTGATCCCTAGGGTCTTTCTGTTGCTATGACATCACATAATTATCTTTAAAAAGCATGATTTGAGATGTGTTTCGGGTGAGCAAACACCGTTTTGCCACGCAGCATTCTGTTCGGGTGAGATTTCTCCCGCTTTTGTGGGTTTTCTATCAAAAAACCTGCAATATGTCAGCGCAACACCAGGAAAAAAGAGCGAATTGCAGAAAGCGGGTGAAAATTCCATTGTTCAGTTAGCCAGCCACAACCGCGTGCTTCAATAACAACTTTTTATCACTACTAGGCATAAAGTGGATCTGAATGTGCGAAAGAAGAGATGTGAAAGAATTTTGGAGAGTATGGCAAAACATACAAAAAGTTTGGGTAACTGAGCCTATGGTAAACTACAACCCAGCGAATGATTACTGCCTACAATTAACTAGATCGCTAACTGATAGCACTTAGATAAGCTAAAAGTGTGCAATTAAGCGCACCATATATAGATTTGGATACGGTAACGCATTATGTGCGACTCTGCTGCAGCGAAACCGATAAGCACATAATCAGATAATCAAAAAATCGAAGACTGTATAGATAACTCACCTCTAGAGCATAAAGAACCGGCAAACAATGCAAAACCCGCGACGCGTAAAGTCCCAATTCCCCAAAACCGATAACAAGACTACAGTATCTGAAACGAAAAAAAAACTGTCGCTGACAAAATTCGAACTCGTTTCGGATGTGCGGAAGAATGTTTGCAGCGTTCGAGGCGTCCGTAATCGCGCACACACATACAGAGACACAACAACGGGGGGAACATATGGACAAAGAAGAGCGGACGGGGTGGTGGCGGGGGGGGGGGGTGACGGTAGAGCGAGAGAGAGAAGCGAAAAGCCTTTCATCGCTTGAATGAAATTGACAATTACTGCGCGTGCAAGGCCTCGGAGCTATTCAGCTACTGGAAATTTCGCAAGTGAGTTGTAACGATGATTGATGAACGACAACGACGTGACTGATATGAGAATGACGATCAATCGATAACGGTTACAAAAGCTTTGCAAAATCGAATCGATAATGCTTGTAAATAGCAGAAGCGACGAAAAAGTGCAGACAGTAGATGCGATAACATTCGACAACAACCCTCACAATATCAACCGGTCAGCATACGGTAGGGGTTGAATCGATAGTCCGAGGCCAGAGCGGTCGCCGAGCTGGAAGAGCGAGGGGAACGTAATCAGCAAGGCGGCGAGTAGATAGAGAAAGCCGTGGGGCGGACTGGCTGACTGGCTCCGCCCACTGGGGCGACTCTGATTGGTCGATGGAGGTCAAGAGCCGGTAGGTAAACTGCTATTGGCTGTTGGTAGGTTTAATGCTATAGTAAATGTACAAGATGCAGAAATAGAAGTTTAGAAGAAGTAGAAGTGGAAGAGTGAATGCGAAACGACCGAGGTCCGGACGTGCAACCCGAAGCAGAGGAGCCACGGGGCGAACCACAGTATGTATGAGAGTGCGACGCGTCGCCGCACGCCACGCAGCCATCGCTAGCGCAGTCTTATCCGCTCTCCGCGCTACGTTCACCATCTTCCGACCCTCGTCGTCTGCGCGCCGCGTCGAAACCAATCAACATGCGGCGCTCCGGCTCCGCCCACTACCAAACGTCCTTCCTACTGTAATGGCGCGTTTTTGCTCTCGATGCGTCCGGCACACTCCCCGCCGATAAGTGTTCACTCGCGTTGTGGCTGCGCCGACGGGGGAGACGTCGACGCGGACGATTCACCCCCGACCACCACACACACACCCGCATACACACACACGGACACGCACAACGGCTCGCCGGGGAATTTCTGCTGCTACTGCTGCCAATCAATCAGCTACCCTTCGGTGTTGCGCTTCGATCCGGCTGTAATCCGGTCCCACGGGTTATACACACACTTTCGAGATTGCTGCGGCTGTTTGCGCGCGTGTGGTGCATTTACGGGAGAAGTCGTTAAAATCGCATTTATAACATGTCTTATGGCAGGATTCGCACTACACAGGTGTTGACATGTATTAACTTGTCCATAGCGCATAAATAACCCACGCTTCTGCTAGAACGCTTCTTCCACCCGAGACTATCAAAGACGCCTACGAATCGAAGCCATGCGAGTAAATAAGATAACGACCGGGCCCAGCCGCGGGCATTATCGCTGTGCCTTCGCATAACAGCCGCATATCGCACAAAACGAGCAGCAGCACATATCGCCGCCGACGCCGTCATCCATCGCGGGTTACGGTAATCGCGGAACAGGTCGTGCTATCGTAATGAGAATACGCACACACACACACCACATATACGAGCGAGCGCGCCCGCACACACACACATACACTCGCGATGATCGACGACGACAGCTCGTCGCACAAAACGTCTCTCCCCACAAAGTGTACGGGGCCCTCGCGTCGTCACGAAACCACGGGGGAGCAGAGCGCGGGGGGATCGAATCGCTTCGCATAGGATTGGTTACGGTATCTTGAGACGGTCGCCATCGCCTACGCGGAACTGCGCCAATTTACACACACACACATGCGCACAAACTTTCTTGACCTCATAACGCGGCGTGGGACCAATTTACGTGCACGTCTTTGCGTGCGTGAAGTCGCGGCGAATAGCGAAAAACGCCGACGGCTTATGTGTGTGTTGTGCGGTTGTCTGTACGACGTCCATCAAAATTCTCTGCTGTGCTCGCTCTCTCCGTTTTGTCCTTTGAATTGCGAAGACAATTGCCAGGCTGTCAGAAAGATAGATTTGAGCGATAGAAGTAGGGATTTTTCGAGTTTTCGCGAGAAAAACTCAAGAAAAATGATGGCTGCAGCAAGTTTTCTCACTGTAATAGAGAATTTGTCCAAGAAATTGCCGCTCTAATTCGTTATATGGGAATCGGCGCACACAATGGCTGCCGCCGCTGCTATAGAGTACGGTGTTTGGACGTCATAGATAGGAAAGTGAGGGTTGTATGAAACTTTAAGCTTATCATTCAAGTTATGAAACCCAATTCTGCACAATTGGCCTGCTGCCAAGTTTGGAAAAGCGCTGCTAATCCGGATAATTCCTTCTTAAGTCAAAGTAAACACATTTCCTGGGAAATGTTGTATGCTCCGCTCCTTACGAGGACCTGAAAGTGTGCGATTCCCCTTTATCTGAATTTTTCCCTCGCCTCCATTGATTAAACCTAAATAGACGGAGCTTCTAAGTAAATTAATGCTCAAAAAATTAGATAGAGTGAAGTCTTAGGAAGTTATGCCTAGAACTATTTAAAATTGACGAAAAGATAGACTAACCCACTTGACATCAATACTCTCGAATCAGGTCAAAATTATACTGTTCAAAAAAAAATCTTCACCTGATTCAGAAATCAGGGCCTATTCTGCAGACGCGGCTGATACTTGCGATATCTCGAGTGGGTGCAGAAAAAGTGCACTTTTGTGACTGCCGCACTCTTCGGAAGCGCATAGATCAAGTCCCCGCTGGAAACGTTTTTTTCTTCTGTCAAGGCCAAGAAAAATGAAGACAGAGAAACTCTGGAACCATCTTTCTGAGTGCAAAAAATTGGAAGGTGTATAAACTGCAATGTTCTGAGAAAATTCGGAAGTTTTTGATTTCGTTTATATCACGAAGAGAGGCCTGCAAAAAGCTTACCGTCTCAATTTCTCTATGGGACCTTACATAAAACGTAAAGCTACAGCAACTCCCAGCGGACAGCCACGCTCGCATATTGCGCGTATCTATCTTTACGTAATTGCGCTGTCAATAGAGAGATTGGCATGTCGCGTTGCTCTAATCCCCTGTTCCCAAGAACAACCCCAAAAATTCCATTTCTTAGATCAAACCTGCATTAACATGTCAGAACATAAACTTTTGCAACACCAACGCGTTTATCGTATGAACTTGGCACTCAGCCAAGACCACAACAAAAGCGTGCAGTGGCTCATTATCCGTTGCAATTGCACATTTTGCATTGAAATTGCCGTCATGGTTGCTGATTTCCGGGGTTTTAGCGCAATGTGCTCGACGATCACGGACGACGGACGGGGCAGTAGCGAATTCCCCCGTCGAGTGAACGACGAGTGTATGTGCGAGTGAGAGCGACAGCTATCGGGGGTGGGTCGATAATTAGTACACAGAACATAATACGTACACAAATGCACGCTGCAAATGTGATAAGAGTAAGCGATGTCACAATATCGGGTAGATGTCTGCGTGTGCACGGAATACAAGTCAAAAGTCGCACTTTATGAATTTGTAAATTTATTTTGTCAAATGCGAGCGGGATGCAGGTCTAGGGATGTCGAGATTTGTTTGTAAACTTTTGTAAACCTAGTATTGTAGGTTGCACTTGGGATGCATTTTTGTGCCGCAATTTGTGTACTTAACATTACTCGGCATTGTTGTGGCGTTTTATCGATTGTAATCATTGTACGTGATTCCACCGTCACTCATGTAATTCACGGTATTGTTCGTTTCACAGCTTGACTTCTACGATCATGCTCGTTCAAATGCGAAAAGTTATGGCCATAAATAACCCGAACAGAGTGAGAGACAGATGCAGAGTGTGCGCGACGCGTACGCGGTGAGAACGTTACGTAACGCAACGAGACGCAGACGCGACAGCCGGCGAAGGTCGCCATCGTTGCGGCCATCGAGCTTGGAGTGTACATACACGCACGGCGCACACACACACACCACCCAACCACCCGCCGTCCGTCCCGTCCCGTCCCGCACGTCCGATTTGGCGGCATTGCTGTGTGTTGTGTTCTGCTTCGGACGTTTCCGTACTGTTCACTAAATTATTGCCGTCAAATCACTCTCTGGATCACATGGAACCCTTGGAAGGGAATGTATTTGCTGTCGAAGCATTGTTGAAGGAACGAAAACGCAAGGTACATCCTCCTTTGTTCTTCTTTTTTCTTTTTCGTTTTCTGCGTTGCATCTGTTCTTTCCGTCATTTTTGGGCTACTTAAGACATTTTTACCCAAGTACTGTTTTTTGTTTCGGTCATTTATTTGCATACTTGATTTATTACACGTATTTGCGCTATTGCGTTAGTTACCACCCTCCGACAATCGATGAAAACTTCCCGCCTAGCGATGATGCGATACACACGTGGCAGCTCAGATTTTTACGAATTGATTTCCTCTGTTGTATTTAATTAATTATCCTTTTTCCGGGTTATGAAAATCAAATTAGCATTTTGTACTGCTCGAAATCTCTCTAAAAAATGCTTCCGTGGAAGCAGGCAACGAAAACGCTATGCGAGCGCGTGGTACATCTTTTCGCTTCTCTCTTACCGTAAAATCTCCATAATACTTCTTAGAATATCTGTGGTAAATTTTTTGACAAAAGGAAAACTTTCGGCTATGTAATTATAGGATTTCCAAGTCTCTCTCTCTGCTTTCTCGAAATCCTTTTTTCTTCTATTGCTACGCAGATCCTTTCCCAACTTTTCATTTTTTTTTGTTTTCGTTTAGAATTTCTCACAAATTTATAAAGCCTTTGACTCATGCTGTGGCGCATCAGCTGTGCAGCTGCCCACTGAATTGATTCATCGCATTCGCCTTCGCAGCATTTGTCATCGAGGTATTTGCCTGCTAGATGTCATGATATCAGACCAAAAACGTTTTCTTCCTTCAAATTTCTGCTTTGGCTTTGAAGCTATCTCTCTGAGAAATTTTCACATTGCGTCAATTTTTCAATAATTTTGACCTCTTCTTCACTTTCATCAGCGTTTGTCCGGCATGTCAGGTCCGAACTTCTGTAATGATAATGCCTAGTCCATTGTCAAAATTTATATCTTTCAATCGGATTGTAACAGCAGATTGAAAATGCTTTGGATGCACTACAACAAAACCTTTACGGTAAATGCTGTGTTTGTCAGTTGATTGCTGATTTTCGCTTCTACCTGCAGTTTGAATTTTCTCTTTTAGCTCGCTTTCCGCAGCTCTACATATCCAATTTTGTTTGGAAAGCTTGGCATTTGATCGTCGTTTTGTCAAAGTTCAACTTTACACAATTTCCATTATCTTCCATTATCTTCATGTTTTCGCCATTGCTAAATGAAAAATCGATTGATTTGCTGGTATGTGGCCGTGATAGTTCGATGCCCGAAAACTGGTTCTGCAATGTGCGTTTTCTCGCAGTTACGTCCATTTTCATTAACGGGAGGTCATTAATTTGATCACAAATGCGCTGAAATGTGAATCGTGTGAATCTGTTAGAGCAGCTGTCAGATCGTATTAGGTACTTGTATGCAACGAAGAATGCGGGCGCTTAGTATTTCCTATTCTTCGATTTTGCACCAATGTTTACTCGGTAAACAACAGCTGTACACATGAAATGAGTGGTCTGTTGCTCTATAATGCGTATCAGATTACAAGTTTTCTCATTCATTGCGGATTGATTCCATTCATCTATTTAATCTTGCATTCATTCTTTTGAGAAAGAACAGGATTTTTCTTACCATATAATAACCGTTTATTAGCCTAATCAACTTAATCTGTTAACGTGGTGAAGGAATTAGGTTCGACTGATATTTGCGTAATTTCGTTTATTTGAAGGAAACCAGGAAATTTTCTTTGCCTTAATCAATAAGCATGTTATTACTATGTCATTACACTTAACTTTGTGATGTGAAGGTTGTCCGCTTTCGAAGTAAAGAGCTTACAGTATCCTCTCTAGCATACCACCAGCCAAAGATTGATTCCTTCATATTTTGTAATTTTTCCACTTTTAGGTTCTGAAAGTTTTTTTCATTGCTATCATCCATCCTTGCTACTCGTTTCATTAATCATTTACGACCGTTACCCTTTCACCGTACCCAGCTATCTCTTGCGCAACCGCGACTACAGTAATTCGCGCGCAGTCCATGAACCCAATCCGAACATCAAACAACTGGCGCGATAACGCAATCTGCGATGTCAGAATCGCATTTCATTACTGATAATCATGTATCTTCGCCAATGATATGGACATTTCACGGAAATCACAGATGCAAATTATCATTTGAAATGTTGGCATCATTCCAATAGAGTATATTTTGCAGGGAAAGGTCGAATATTTGGTCAAATGGAAAGGATGGGGGAATAAGTGAGTGCTTTTACTTCTCATTTTTCTTTTCATCTCCTTATAAGAATTCTGTCAACTACATAATGACTTTATTCCCAATTCATTGCTTCTGATAGGCAGTCCCCGTGCAATCAATAAATCGAACTCTCGTAACACATTCAAGCGTCGAACCTCCGGCTTCGTATGTTCTGCGCGGACCTTTTCTTTCATTTGCGTAACTACGTACGAATCGATATATTCGTCGCTGCGTGCTTACATCGCAACCCTAACATGGTGAAAGACTAGCGAGGGGACTGATAAGTTTTTCTTGCCATCACCAACTTTCTTTCACCCGAAAATGTGCCTAGTAGATAAAGATAATTAGTCACTTGCACTAACGCCACAACTCGTTTTGGTTTTTTCCCTTGAAGTTTTCAAAGCGTCAATACAAATCAGTGCAACTTATGACCATTTTGGATCTGCTTTTTATCAATTTTGATGTACATCTCTTTTGTTTTTTCGTATCTTCCACCATTTTCCTCCTTTCAATATTGTAACATTAGTCAGCTCATATCTGAAATCAGGTTTAGATCGCTCGTTTTTTTAGCGTTTCCTTTTCCCTTGAGAGTTTGATCGCCTATACCCACAATTAGCTGGGGTTATCCATGGTTTAAGTAGGTTATGTATGCTCAGATCCCACACCGATGTTAGATTTTATCATATTTGATCCTATCTAGTCTGTGGGGTTGTCTAATTGTGAACATCAGCTAAATCTTCTAGTCCTGAGAGTCACTTCGATATCTTACGTTTATAAGTTCTAAACTTACTACGTAAATGGCTCCGAATGTATCTATCTGAATTTTTTGAGGTTTTGTGCGATTTTTCTTTCACAAAGCCGCATTTTTCTTGCGGACGCTCGAACAGCTGTTGAAATAACGATTTGCGCGAACTTGAAAGATCGTCGACGGGATGACTGTAGTGTTGTTTGAAGTGCTCTAGGGACGTACTCGTCGGCGTGTCATAGCGTCGACGGCCGCCAAATCGATGCGACCAGACTGATGATGGCGTTCGTGCGAAAATTGCACCAGCCTGCTCTCTGTCCCTTACACGCGCGCCTCATTGACCGCTCTGTCTTCTTTGGTCGCCGCGCTGCGCCACTTTGCCTCGAACAGCTGGAAATTGGCAAAATTACCAGGTTGTGTAATAGACAGGTGTAAGGAGAGAATGCAGGGCTTGGGTGTTGTGGGAAATGCTGTGGGGAGGTCTGGGGTGGAAATGGGTGCTACTGTAGGTTACTTATGCGTTGGCATGTCCGTCATTTGGACCGGTAAGGTTATAGAGATTAGGTAAAATCTGCCGTACTGGCTACATATTTTGGGAAAACAAGAATTTGGGCGTTATCCTACTTATCTGTTGAAACCATTTCCCATCAGATTCATTCCCGTGTGGATTCTTGACCCCCCTTCTCCCCATTATTGCAAGCGGATACTGTGTGTGAATACCACTAATCAACGGCGCACTTGTCCCCTCACCACCCCAGCGTCCCGTCCAGCCCAGCACGTCGGTAACCTACCGTAATCCGTAATTATATGCTCTATGGCGCGTGAGCGCCGCGATAAGGACGAATACGCGAATGTGTGTGTGCGTTTGTGCCGCGTGGCTATCGCATATGAATGCAATTCCTCATTCCATGAATTCGAAGGTTGTAGAATAGTAAATGTTGTCGTGATGCGTGATGAGGGCAGGCGCTTTTAGTTAAAGCAGGATAGTTCAGAGGAAAGAGAATGAAATGGGGATAGTGTTCAACTCACTTTTTGCATTATTCTTTCTTTCCTTTCTACCCCTCCTCCTCCCCCCTCCTGACCGCATCCTTTACCTTATAGAGGACGTCTAATTTTGGTATAAAAAGGGGTCATTGAAGCGGTATATGTATTTCCGAAGCATACCATGGGTAGTATCAAATTATTGAATTTCGCTAATATTAAAGAGCTTACTTACCCAATGCTTCCATCTTTTTTCGAAGCTTGTGGACCCGATCCAGCTTCTATATGGTGATACTGTTCTATTGTGGCTAGCCCCACAGGTTTACCCTGAATTCTGAATTTTCGAAATTCAAACAAGGTCTCTTATATCTGCAAGGTTACTTAGGATTTGTCCAATATTCTACCTTACACAAACAAGACTGTATTTGGTAATTTCATAATACCCGCTGGATCTGATCTGGAAGAAACATGTTATGTAGTCAACTTCTCACCTTCTTTGGTCTCTCCAAGAATTTAGCGACCATGGAAGATATCAAATTTGTAGAATGTTGATTGCAATCTGTTGCTGTTAGCATATTGCGGCACAGCAAGAACTTCTTCATTTTGTGAATTTGCTCAAAATGTCCACAGCTGAATCTCTCATTTTTCCATTTGATACGCTCAAGGAGGTTCTTTAACAGAAATAGTGAGACAGAACTCGTAAAACAGCGAAAGTGTTAAAACTGATGAGGAAACTCAGTGTTTCTGAAAATTTGCTGTGCCAAGAAAGCGTTTTTCTGCCTATGTTTTGGGCCAATGGTTGATTATCCCCATAATCAGAGGGCACTTCTTCAAAGCTCGACTGAGACTTATTTGAAACCATAACGATTTGCTTCGGGAAGGACTCGCAAGGGTATCGATATCAGAGACTTCTTATCAGCGCCACTGTAGTTGCTCGGTTGACATATGCGCTGTCAGAGAGCGCCATCACTCTCCCATAGGGGTTCTCCGATTTCTTAAACATCGCACAGCCGACATTTGACCTAATGGAAGCGAGAAAAGAGTATTATGGTATTACAACGTAACTGTCTGTTTCAGACATAACACATGGGAGCCACGTGAGAATGTATTGGATGATCGACTATTCGAAGAGTTTCAAAAACAAAAACAGAAAAATAAAAAAAGAAGTTCGAGCGGAAGTACCAGCAAGAAATCAGATGTAAGCAGTTCTTTGATTGAGTTTTATTTGCTTAATTGTGTGTTCTTTGCATTTGTTCAGTCTTTATTGACAATGGCGTAGCGAGTTTTTGAGTTTCTATTTGCAGACGACGACCACACCCCCATCGAAACGTCGACGCCGATTGGCAGGTGGCGATATACGCGATGAGAGCAGTGAAAGTAGCGAGCATGGTAGGCAAAAATCTTGAATTGGACTTGGTTCCCATAGATTATGGTTTATTTTTTCTTTTTTTGCATAGCCAAGAGAAGAATTGCTGGGAAATCTTTTCCATCTGTGCCAGCTGAAAAGAAGTAGATAGTACCTGCTTTCCTCGTCCCATTAAATGATTATTTGTTGCTTTTCCTGGAGTCAAAAGACACCCATTGAACTTACATTGTTTATGCACCCGGCGATTGTAGCGTAGACCCCATTAAATGCTCTTTACGATCGTAACAAGGTGTCATCTCGATGTATGTTTTATGACCGCGCGCGAAGCGCAACGTACATGAACTCCGCTGTTGAAACCGAAATTATTACTTGCTCAAGCAAATGTGTGTCTTTTTAATACTTTGAAGTATTTGAAAAATTATCGGGAAATTATGAAAAATCATGGTAACGGGATGCTATTTGATAGCACTTATTGAGAGTAGCATCTTTCTTTGTCAAGAAATCCTCGAGTTTTGGGCGGAAGCTTGTTAGTGAAGAAAATATAAGATCTTGGGCACTTGGATTCTGGAAGTTGCAATCGGAGGACATGATTTGTAACATATTTGCAACCTCTACAGTCTAACCGTAGGATGCCATAAAAGGCGATTTTACCGTAATCGTCCTCATTCATTCAGAAGTCGCTACTAAGTATAGATGAACTTTAGAAAGGAGCTTTACAATATATTCAATACAGAAAATCGTCTAGTTGCTGTCGTGTTACTATTTTTGGTCATGACAGGAATTTGCTGAAAATCTAACATCCCTTCATCTTGGGCTAACTTACAAGGAATGCATTTTTAGTTGAAGTGGCCTTTTTAGATGGGATGTATACCATATCGAAAGGCATAAAATGCTGGTTCCAAATGCGCTTTTCTTATCTGCAGGATTTCTATGGGCGAGGACTTGTGAGCGCTTATTGGAGCAAAAAATCGAACTTGCGAGGAGGACAAAAATAGCTTTAATACTTTTCCTAGCTCTTCAGTGGAGCAATGATAATCATCACGGCACTTTTTTCAAAAAAATACTCCAAAACAAAAAATTTATCACACCTGGTTGCGTTGTTCGAGAGCTAGTTAAGATTTTAGCACTCATTTTATCCAAAATGCACCCCAATTTTTGGCTCCCACAAGCGCTCATAACTCCTCGTCCATAAGCGTTCTGCAGGTAAGGAAGGCAGATTTGGAATCAGCGTTTCATGCCCTCTAATATATACACCTCATTCAGGAAGGTCACTTCGACTAAACAAGCTTTCCTTGTTGGACGCAAATTTCAAGACTAGTTGACTTTCTACAATTCAATCTATCATGGAGTTGTGATGCCGTGTTATTCGATATTAGAGATCGATTTCTCACAGAGAAAACTTTTTAGCAATCAAGATTCTATATTGAATAAGTGATCAAAGTTTTTTCCCGTAAGACCAATTTGGTATCGAGGTTTTGCCGTATGCTTACGAAAACGACGATTTTGATGTCTATTTGTTTAAATTATCTTATCAAAACCTAATCAGGCTGAAAACAGTAAAATGATCAAAAGTGATGAATAATCAATGCGAATTGACGTAAGCAAGTGATTGGTAATTAATGTAGATTAGACTGTATTGTTGATGCTCATCTGATTACGGTAGCTCTTTTACCGTCGTCATCACTACGTATCAATCAAAAAATAAGTAAATTATCTGCAAAATGATGAGTAACGTTCAGCACTTTATTGGCCAGCAAATTATACGCGGGTCTGAAGCACTAGTTTGTGGATAGATAGGGACGCAAACAATAAAATTAGCCACTTTCAAGCTCAATTTTTTCAACAAGTTTTTTGGAAAATATCGAGCTTCAAAGTGACTTTTCTTTTGAAGCATCTCTCGATTTTGCTGGTGCTTTCGTGCCTTTCGTGCACATTAGCTCTCTTACAGCATTTGGATCATCGAATGCTAACATCTGTCATCATTTCTTGGCTAATTAGGAATCTACCCAGCCTTGGATTCCTGAGAAAAGGCGGGAAATGTATACGAATTTCCCCGTATCAGAAACTGTCTATTTTTCTTATAGCGTGAACGAGTCTAGTGCAGAAAAAATATGTAGAGGAAGTTTCTTTGGAAGATTCTTGTTTTTTTTTCTGGTGAAAAAGGGCTTGCAGAACTTGAAAAACGATATTTCTGATTTGGAAGATGTTTTTGCACAAAAACGATCTGTGTTGTAAGGTTCTGAGCATTTTTTGGAAAAAAACAGGCCTTCCGAGAAAATCCATCTGAAAGTAGTATTACTGCAAACCTATCCATTATCCCTAGTACTTCTCCGGATGTCTGATTTTCTTTTCATAAAATGCTCAAAATTACAGTATATGACCTTAACTAAAATAACTTCAAATTAGAGACATCGTTTTCCAAGGCTTACTAGCCATTTCTTTGTACAAAAAAATGGCTAGTAAGGCTTTCTTTGAAATTCTCTTTCTTTAAAAATTTTTTAGCTCAACTTTCCCGTTTCAGAAACCGTTTATCTATGATACATGGTCTTCGCAGGTCTCCCGGTCTTTTTCTGGGTCTATTCAACCTCCTTCAATTTACAGATGAAGAACTCGGCACTCCGTCCACATCAACAATGGCCAAAGACGAAAAAGAATCGGACGTGGATCAAAGCTTTGTGTCCGATTCTCGCTCAGAAGCGGCCGACTTGCCATCCGAACGTGAAGAGCCACGATCGGAAGACACCGTAACACCGACGACACCGCACGACACAAAGGCAAGTGTTGCTCCACAGCCTATGTGTATTTGTCTTTAGACAGCTGTGCCAATGCCAATGCGCACTGCGCTTCGGCCGACCCGTTAATTACACCGAACGGCTCACCACGCCCTTTAGCCTAATTAGCTGCCATTGACACATTTATGCGAAAAGCATGCGTCATGCTTTATCTGGCTTGGAATGTACCTATTAGGTGGAGCACGGGAAATGAGCAGCGAGACAGAAGGAGCGGTCTGTTTCCGAGATGGGGATGCGCCCACGGAGCGAGCAGGTGTTCGCCTTCTCCTAATTCTTAGTCTGAAGTGGCTCCTAATTGGGTACTGTAGGTCGTAATCCCAATGAGGGTTACGGTAATATGGGTGAAGGGATTGAAGAGTGGGTTTCTTAATATCTCTGCTATGGTGCTGAATAGTGCAAATGTTACCAGCTGAGCTGCTTTTATCGTTGTGAATACCATCGGCGGAGCCAATGAATACAGGCTTCCATGCAGGGTTATCTGTAATGAAAGAGAAGCGAGGGGGGGGGGACAAGCTTAATGCTTGGTATGTTGATGGGTAACGAAGCGGCTCAAACAGGGACCATGCTCCATTTTCTTATTTGATCTCCATAAATTGTGTAAATTTGCCTATCCGAGAAATCGAAGTAAAAGTTGGGAAGCTAAAGGGATGGATTTTGTGCAATGCTTATGTAGGGGTGTTGATGAAAGGTTGTGGAAAAATTACTTATCAGAACAATGTGATTTTTCGCAACTCAATCGTGGTAAGAGTCTCCATAAAACTGTAGTAGCATATTCCGGGTTCGGGAGGAGGTGGGGTTTGAACTAAACCTTGCAGAAAAATTCGGCATCGAGTGTAGAGCATGGAATGAACTTAGACCTACCCACGGCTGAGGGAGAATTTAGGTAAATTGTAAATCCTTTTTCGGCGAAAAAACGAATGTTTCGTGGAAATGAGGCACCTTCTTCTAGCCTTAACATGCAGCCTCACTGCGCATTTGATTGTCTCGGAGTAGATCATGCTACAGTTGTTGGATGAGAGGTTATGTAACCTTTTTAAAAGAGGTATGAACTTTTGAAGCATCGACTGTGCTGATGGTTTCTGAGTTGCAGTGGTGGTAAGGCGCTATACGCGCAGACTACGGTAGCGATGTGGCCTTCGATATTTGCCAAGGGTCACTTATCTGCTTAGCGACATACAATCCTAGTCGGATCGTAGCCGGTGATATTGATCGTCCAACTTTATGGAAATTTGCTGGAATCAGGAACGTTTTTCCTGTTCGAAAAAAGAATATTCACACAAAATCTTTGGATCAGCTGTATTCCGCGGTAGAAGTTATGCGAGTCATATACAGTATGGATCATGGGTTGTTTTCAGAGGGAGAGTCTTGATGAAATTCCTATTCAACAAGAATTTCGAACATACGGTAATCGTCCCAGCAGGTTCCCGACTATTGTCGCGTTTTTTCTTGCTGATCGATAAAAAGTGCAAGTTGCTGGAAAACGGAGAGAAAAAGTGGTGGGGAAACTGCAAAATGTGTAACTAAAGTTCTTCCGTCAGTTAGGTTTGATTGTTGGACATTTGCTAGTTATGAATATATCTCCTTAATTCTGGTCTGGTAGAGGACGATTATTCCCTGTGACAAGCAACCAATTAGTAGGCTACCGTAATCGATGTGTAATTGCGACAAATGTACACGCGCTGGCGTGAATTTGCAGCGCGACGCACGAGTCCTATAGATGTGTAAATCATGGCGACAGCTTGCAAATCATTGGAGCGTTGCCAATGCGAATTTCCTTTTACCAATCAGGTGTGCGCTTAGCGCTCACCTAATCGGATCTGTCATTAGTCGCGACCCATTGTCACCAGCACGCTTGGCCACGCCCCAGCCTTGAGCACGCAGTTGTACTGGCGGGCGAGCAGGGGGGGGGGGGGATTGTGGCCGTTGATGAGATGCAAACACCGAGAGAAAGAGAGAGACACACACAGCCCGCGGCAGCTGGCTGCTGCGGGCTGCTGCGAGTACTCAACGGCATTAGAGAGACCCGCAGCCAAGCGGGCTCAGTCGGACTCGTTTGCATAAGAAATTCGGACGTTTTCATTGAAAGAGAGCGGAAATGTGGTGGAACTACAAGTGGGGAAGTGAGGAAGTGGAGAGCAAGAAGGAAGCTGGATTTAAGTTGTTGTTAAGCTGAGTCGATGAATGTTTATATTCTTTGGAAGGGAGCTAGATGCAAAGCATTCATTCTTAACTCGTGTAGTCCGACTCCTTCTACCCCCCCCCCCCCTCCCCCATCCGAAGCGGAATGTTTGCGGGTTTCAGACTACCAAAAGTCTTCTGTTCTAAAGAAGTTCTCGAGAGCAGTCTGCAGTAACAGAGACGAGTGAATTATTTTAGACAATAAAACTCTTGTTAGTGAATGAAGGAATACCGTCTACCCAGTTGCTAAGGGATTACTGCTGTCAAAAGGGGAAATTCGGTCCTTTCTGGAAATTTTCTGGGAACGCGTGCTTTTCAAGAGCATGTGCTTTAGTACGAAATCATCATCTGAGCCCATTTCCAGTCTATTTAAGGAGATCTCTGTGCCGCTGGAACAGATTTCGATTGCCCGTTTTTGAAGACTAGAATGGTTTTTCATGTCGTAGTAATGAGAAGTTACGCTGTTGCGATATAATAACTGTCTGCATCATAAAGTGGGAGCTTACCGTTTTTCTCGACCATAGATTCACTCACTGGTGGCAGGGCAGACTAGTGTTTCCGAATGTTTCGAACACTGGGTTGAACTTATTGGATACTGATGCTAACTCATGTCTCGGCATCCCCTTGTAATTGAGTAGATTTCTATAAATTTTGATTTCTGAGAAATGTTTCCAACCATGATGACTATAATGTAATCCAACCCACTTTAGGACTATTCGAAAACGAAAGCTGGCCCATCACACGAGAAAAAGTCTGAAAGTACCGGCGCGGACGAAAAGAAAAGCGATGAAGCGTCAGCAGTGGCACCGGCGGCGGCGCCGACAGCAGCGGAAGCACCGACCGATGATTCGAACGCAGAATCGCCAGATGCACCAAGCCCCGATCAGCGTATGCTACGACAACTTACGGAACAGGACTACCTTGTTGGTAGGTGAATGTATTGTATCTTGCGGGTTTGTTTTGTCATTTTATTTTTTCCTTGAAATGTTCTTCATTTTACTTCATTGTGGATTTATGAAGGTAGGATAGCGTAGCAGAGTCGAGAAGGTCCAAAAGTGTGTAGTGGGCGAACGTCATTCGCAAATTGCTTTTCGGTCCTGCGAAATCCACTACTGAAATGCCACTTAGGGAATGTTTTCCTTTTTATGTGTTCTCACGTTCTTGTATGCCAAAAACAGGATCAAATATCTTAATTTTTGAAAAATTGGCTATAAAGTAACCCATGAGGATTGCTCTGTGTCGTTCTTTGCGTTTTGTTACTTCAGTTTCAAAATTATTTTTGTCTATCAGACTCTGAGAATATCCGAAGTAGTTTTGATTCTCAATGCGCATTCTCAATCTGGACGAGTTTGCCGCCATAGAAACCTTCATTTTTCATTTTTACTTTCGCTGACAGCAAAAGTGCTGCGCGCGATGGCGTGCGTGTGTCGACGCCGACAATCTCAAGTGTGTTTCGTTTTTGCGCGGCGCACAGTCGTTGCTCGTTATGTCTCGTTTCATGAATACGGTATATGTTATCGGCTGTCGCAAATTTGATTAACGTCAAGGTCACAGCCGCTCTACTGCGCTGGTTCGCTCATTTACGTACATCGCGCACAACACAACGCTACTGTAATTATATATGTTAGCGGGTAATTCCTTTGAAGACACAGCGTGTCGCAACAACGCCGCGGGAAGAGTTTAGCGCGAGTAATCGGCTTACAGAACGTTAAATGGTCTAATAATACGATAGTCGTGCATATCGTTATTTATGGATCTTATTTAAGGTCATGTGACGTCGGTAGTGGAACCAGTGAAGGACGGAACGGTGAAGGAGAAAGTGAGTTTTGTAAAGAATCGTGCCGGCTGCTTTCGATTATGGTTTTCGCATTTATAGGCATTCATAGCGGGCGGCACGAGTCAGACGGACGGTCTGCAGCAGATTCAACTCTGCGAGAATGATGAAAAAAGATTACGAATCGAGGCCATCAAGAACGAAATACGCTCTGAAACGGTCCGTCTGCAATTTGGTTTGAATTTTCATCTGTTTATTCCTGTTTTCTTTAGTCTGTGTACAGTAATGAATCCTTACGCTATCTAAAGTTTTTGGCCTCCGTACTCTGTAAGTTCGGGAGCTATTTCCAAAGTCTAGAAAAGGGTTTTTCTCGAATTGGGTTTTTGGGTAGTATTTGTAGTATTATCTTGTTCGGTTACATCATTATACATGATTTTCATTATTTAAATTTCAAGGGGTATAGATGTTCAATATCTTGATGAGTTCAGATTCTGTTTCAAATTATGTTATGTTCATGTACAATTTTTTCTGAATTGGCTAGATTTCACCGATTTTGATGAAAAGCCGTCTGTTGTTAATCATATTTGGATTCTGAGTTGGTAGCATCTAACTTGGGATATGATTCTTCTGTTTTTTTAAATTCATTTTTTTGCACATTTATCCGCACTTTCGTTTCATGTTTAATATCTGCATGTTCAGATTTCGTGGACAAATCCTGAACGCCCATCAGAGCCGTTCCAGTATCATGGCAGCATCACTATCACGGATGTAACAGTAAATGGACAAACATGCCAATTTATAGAACTTTGAAGATTACGAAAGAAAATGAATGAAAATGAATGTTTTCCATCAAATGCCTAGAGTGAAAACTGCCGAAAATTCTATAGTGATGTGCGGTTGACTATTTTTTATGTGTAGATGGTGCACTTGCACATTTTAGCAAAGGTATGCCGTTGTTCAGAAGTTGCTGTATAGTGTGCAATTGCACCATATTTTTGGTTTTTTCTAGTGTTTCTTTTATTTTATTGCGGTTTGTAGGAGTTGAGCATCCTAAAGTTTGATGTTTTTAGCACAGCGCCAATGTCGTGTTTCTTTCAATGTGTCCACTTTTCAATGTTCAAATTTTCAAGGTTTCCGGAAAGATTCTGCCAATTTGTGTTCTTTTGCGTTTGGTGTTAATTTTGTTATATTTGAGATATATTCTATGTCGTATTTATTTTCCAAATGGCGAATAAATAATATGAATTGGTATGCTGGATGACTGAAATTTCTATTTTTGGGGAAGGATGTTGAAGTCATAAAGCTACTTTGGGAAGCGAGTAAGAACGGAGTAGTATATGTATTTTCGAAGTATATTATCACCCTGAATTGAACTATAAGTCTGAATATAGTTTTTCTGAGATTAGGTGGTTGTATCTATGCAGTTTACGAGTTGCTTGACGTGTGTAATACGTAATTACCGCGCGCGCGCAATGAATTCTGCTTCGGAAGCGCGGCTCATTGCTATTGTATTTAGAGCAGAACAGAGGGGTGACATATTCCGTAAATTATGTCTCAAAAGTAACTAGGTTTTCAAAAAAAAAAACAAGACTATTTGCTCTTTGTTGAGAAGAGAATTGGTTACAAAACGTCGTGCGAAAAGCTGTTGCTTTTTAGGGTAAAATATATATTTTTCAAGCAGAAGTCGTTTCGTTACTTTCAGCATGATCTAAGTTTGATTGCCGTAAAGCATTAAAGACTTCTTCACTTTCTTTCGAGGCAAGACGAGGAAGATGTACCCCTAATTTAGGCCCTAAATCATCTCGTTTCCTCATAATTGCAGAAACAGGACCTTCTCGTATCACTGAAGAGGGCGAAAGGTCTATGTATCGGTAGAGGCTAAATCCAATTTTGAAATGATTTTTTTCGGCGTTGATCTTCCCTTAGCCTTTCAAAATACTGCTGAGTCGTTTCCATCCCTTTCCTTGCATTTTCAAGCGTCGTACACTTTACAAAATAATTTAGAAGGGTTTTCTGGGAGCTTTTGAGTGAGGGACAGGAACTCTTATCATCTTGTATCTTCTGAAAAATAAATAGTTTCTAAAAAAAAACTGAGCATTTGACTGACTTTTTTGTAGGCAGACTTACCTAAAAGATTCGAGAAATCGGGGCAAATCAGTTGACTCACTAAAAAAATCCGATTTCTAGACCTTGCCGGACCTACAAATAAAACTCCTTCTATCACCTTCCGTATTCGTCCCTGCTTTCTTTTATGGACATGGTGAATTTCTTGGGCATGAAAATAGCAGTTACAGTATCTTTAATTTTTCGGCACGAAGAGCTCCTTGAGTTGAGTGAATTAAGATTTTTATCAACGTACACGATAAGTTGTGATAATTTTTTACGAATCCAAACTTAGAGAAGATCCTTATCCCCCCCCCCCCCCCCATCGCCAAGGTTACTGTAACGCTGACCCCACTCATCTGTGTCTCTTCACCGATAAACAATCGCATAAGGGGTAGTCGGGGCGGGTATCTGATTTCCGGCCTATTGAGCGCTATACGGTGTCATAGTGCAATATGGAGATTTTCATTGTGTAAAAGTTGATTCAGCAAATCGATCGATAATGGTTGTTATCGATTCAGAGAGTGAATTCGAATGGGGGAACCTGTTGTTCGATGGGGAACGACGCATCCAAAAGAAGTTTTCGCACCCGCTGACACACACAGCTGTGTGGAATCGCATTTCGTTCGCCGAGTGTCGGTCGGAGAGCCGAAGAAGCGGCGCGAACGCGCACGACGACGATTACCATATGGAAACGCGATGCTTTGTGAGTTTTTCTGAATAGTAGCAGCCCCAGCAGAAGAGCACTGTAAACGCGTCGAGAGACGTTCTCATAGAAAATGTTATTCTGACACTGAGACATGCATATGTGTGTGTACTAGGTGTGTCTGGCTATGGTAGGAGTTTCCCAGGTTTATTGGTATAGGAAAGCAAGACAAAAACAGTTGTAGCAAACTTTATCTGTTTCAGAATTTTCTAAATTTCCTTTCTCCAGCTTAGTCTTTGGTTAAGCTGATATTTGCTTATTCTGAAAACGCAAACTGAACCTCTGTAGATTGAGGAGGGAGGGGAAAAGGGGGTTTAGAAGGCGGGGATAACAAAAAAACCAACTAATCAGTATTTAGATGAGAAGAAATTGAAGAAAGTTTCAATAAAATATGCAGAAAATTAGTGACTTTAAAAAGTGGAAATTTGCCACTAAAACACATTTGTAACGAAAAAAATGCGAGAAAATCATTCTAGTGCAGTTTTTATTTTAGGCAAATATCGTCTTAAAATTCATCGCCTTTACTAAAGTCTGTGGTTCTCAATCTAAAAAGACCTTTAGAAGCTTTACAAATGAGAGCGTCAAAAATAAAAATAAAATAATAATAAAATAAAAATTTTCTAAACGAGACTAATTTTCAGAGATATATTCTGTTTCAGAAGTGATTCTTTTTGGGGAGATTAGGCTATCCAGTCGATAAAACGCGGGAATGGGAAACAGATAAAGTATTGTTCTCTGCGTCTGAAGCTGATTAACGACTACTAGACAAAACGATACGTAATCTGTGATTTTCAAGCTCCAAGAGTATATTGATGCAAGCTCATATGAGAGCCTATCAATTGTTGAAACAGAAAGGTCACCACAAAATCATTTTCTCACAAAGAAAGCAAGTTTGGTCGAAGTGGCCTCTTAATGAGATGAATGCTGGCTCCAAACTCTAATTCTGATCTAACTTCCTTATCTGCTGGGGGTTCCTGAACGGGGAGTTACGAAGGTTTTTATGTGCAAAAATTTGCATGTGCTACTAGGATAAAATTAGTCGTAACTCAAATGATTTCCGGGTTACTCTGTGCAACAATTATTCTTGATCTAAACATATCCACTCAACTGCCACTTCGGAATGCTAGGAAAAGTCAACGACTGGCTTTGAACTGATCATGCATTAAATTTTTGCCCATTAAAATCCCCAAAACTCCTTGCTCAGAAACCCGCAGCAAATAAGAAACGTATATTTAGAACCAGCGTTTCGTATCTCAGTCTCATATAGAATGGCTAGTTCGACTAACCTTCCTTCCCTTTTCAGTACTTGAATAGTTTCATAGCAGTCTTTCCTTGAAGAGTGATTTGTGAGGAAATTGCTCGGACATGTCGATAAAACGCAGGAAGAATGGAAGGGAAAATAACAAATTATGAAAATGTCACTGTTATTCCCACTGATTGGCTTCACCTTTCCCTATTGTATTGATAGTACTTTTTGTGATATGTCCTAGTACTATCATTTAAGCTTGGCAGTAAATGTCCAAGTCGATTTCAACTTGTTGAATTCTTCAAGTGATTTTTTAGATCGTCAGCCCACAGTCTTTGCTTTTTTAGAACTTGTTGTCGTCGTTTATCTGGAGAAGCTAGGCAGTGAATTGTGACATTACTCAGACTAACGTTTGTGGAGTGAAAATCATTACCATAGCCTATGTAAGGTAGCTGGAAAGTAATATCAATTTGTTTATGATTAGCCTCTCTATGCTGTATGTTAGTCTAATCTTCTATTCTCGCTAATTTATAAAGTAAGTTTGAGAGGAGAATGACATTAAATCCAGTTTGTTTTATCAACTCCGAATCCTCAGCCTCCTGACTTGCTCCGTGAATTTTTAATTTTTTGTTCGCTATATCTGGTTTTCAACGGTTTTTGTGAAAAGAGGAAAGATATGGTGAAATTATGTTTAGAGTTCATAGCAATTCTTTTGTACTCTTCCAGCGCACGATACTCTAAATCACTTCTTCTATCTCCCCTTTGCGCAGTACGGTAGATAGCACACAGTAATTAGCCTGATTTGCACGATTGACGACATAATCGCCGATGCTTAGTGGAGCGCAATGGAGAAAAAACCTTTGGATTGAAATGAAAGGGTAAATTTATTAATGAAGAGGTTTTATTGTCAAAGTTAGTGCAAATCTAGGCATTTTTAATTGATATATCAAAATTGTTTTTACCTTTCATAACCATCATCTTTGGCACTTTATTACGAGATGGTCATAGAACATCGAAAAAAGACGTCATTACTGTGATTATGCTATTCATAAGGGCAATCTAAAGGGGGCGATAACAAGATAATAATGTGAACACACTGAATAGACACATTAGAGTGAGGCAAATTGGCTTGGAAACGAAAGAGTACGAGTACTTGCAGGGAACTAAGAAGGTAAATTGTAGATTGGGAAGTACAAAAACATAGCGTACCATGTTCTAAAAGCTGACTTTGTCTGAAGCTTTTTTGTCATTTGTAATTCTGTTTTTCAAAGCCATTGAACAATTATTTGATAACGATCAGATCTGAAGTTGAAGTCAAATCCGCTGTCTACAGCCTAAACTTGAAAAATTTAAATATTTCGCGCAGCTTCTTTTTTAAGAGCGACTCCTCTTTTGAGTTTTCGAAACGATAATATACAAGATATTGCTTTCTTTGTTTGTGTGATTTTTTTGCTTTATCTGCTCTGGACTTTTTATCCTCTTTTATGTTCTTTTGATTCATGTAGATTTTTCCTCAAGTACTCCTGCTATTCTATTTTTCTCGAGTCATTTATTCATATCTTGGGGTCATTTGTAACTAAATATGTGTCCCTGCGCACTAAGCTCGGCATTTGACGACACTTTTACTGTGATTTCTCACTAAACAAAATCTGGAAATGTGTACTACCATTTAATACATACCCGGACCAAAAGAGTTAAGGAAACAAGAAGAAATTAGTGATATCAGCAGGTTCTAATTTGACAAGTCGTCAAGTAGCGTGTGTGGTGTGCAACATGCGTATTGAGTTACAAATGACCCGAGGATATTTATTGAGGTTAGTATTATATATGAAGCAGCGAAAATACGGCTACCGCCGCGAAAACTTCAATTTTTACAGCATATGCATCATATCTAGTGGAAAAAGTGAAAACAGTATATTTAGCTTCTTTTATTTTTTTCGTTTATTCTGTTCTCTCGTCTAGACCAGGTTCTTAATGTGTACAACAGTAAACAAATAAAAGAGTGCGATCGGAGGGTTGCTCAAAAGATCAGCCGTCATCAATCATCCGTCACATCGTTCTCGCCGCGAACTCCTGCCCCCCCCCCCCGCCACCACCTTCCGTTATCCGCGCTGCGTCGACACGTGTGTGACACCCATCCATTAACGTCTTTATGGGCCGAGTTGGCAGATGAACGCCCGATTGCATGAACCGCGTCGAAT